AAATATTACTACTACTAATATTACTAATACTAATATCAACCACAACCACTACGACTTGTGACTTAAAGGTTTCGCCCTTTTTATGACATTAGAGATTCACAAGTGAATCCTTGGACCTAATTTCCTGTGTTGGGTTTGCAGTGTTTGCAAGTTACTATATTTTATCTGGATTGGTTAATCCTGGGCAGGAAGTCTCAAGAAAGAAGATTCCTCAGAAAAGCAGTATATTTTAAGCAGGGGCATCGTGGGGTGAGCCAACTTGCTTCCGTTTAAGCAGTGTTTCTCAACCTTGACAATTTTAAGGCATGTGGACTTCAACTCCCAGAATTCCACAGCCAGCAATGTGGAAGTTCTGGGAGTTGAAGTCCACATGCCTTAAAATTGTCAAGGTTGAGAAACACTGCTTTACAGAGAGACATTTCCACTTCTGCAGGTTAATTGCCTAAACACTTGCATATTAATATATATTGGAAGGGCAGAATAACTACTGATAAGTAATTCTTAATATTAAACATACTTCTGACTGAGGGTTTACCAGGAAGAAAGAGGCTAAAGCCTTTGCTGTCTATCAAGGTAGCTCACAGGGATAGCTTTACCTTTGCTGAGAGGTAATGGCATTCTGGGAGACTGACCCCAGCTAGGGCTTTAAAAAAGGGATATCTGAAGAATTTTTTTAAAAAAAATAGGTGAAAAAACTTAAAGCATTCATGGCTAGCACTTATTATGATAGTAAAAATTCAAACAATTAAAGCTTTATAGGACTGACAAAGAACAGCAAGAGGTTCATATGGAGTGGGGGGAAAATGAGAGTACGATTTAAAATTTTGCGAGATTGAAAAGTAAGAGGTGGTGCTTAATGGACATGTAAAAAAGATTTTTAAAAATTGGATACAAATACATTATTTCAGACGATTTTAAAGATTAAAGTACAATCAGAGGCTTTCCTTTTGCTGCTAATGGATAGGCCACTTGAAAAAAGTTGTGGAGCTTTGTTTTTGTATATGACAACTGTACAAGATTATTATATGCTCAAATGTGGAAAGATTGGATGCTGCCACAATGGAGGAATGGTGTTGAAGATGATGGAACTTGCATAGATGGCTAAATTAACTGATTTCATTAGAGAAAAGACATTATGTACATTCATGGCTGCATGGAAATACCTTGCAGACATTTTGCATGAAACAGGAAAAAATGCACTTGTGATGTGTGGTGATAATGATTAGAAAAAATGGATAACAGAAAAAAAACACTTTTTATAAGCATAAGAGAAAGATATAACTGTAATAGCAATAGCACTTATATACCGCTTCGTAGTGCTTCACAGCCCTCTCTAAGTGCTTTACAGAGTCAGCATATTACCCCCAACAATCTGGGTCCTCATTTTAGCTTGGCAGGAGGGAAGGCTGAGACAAACTTGAACCGTTCAGGACTGAAGGAATCATACTTCTATTTGCTACAAAGGAAAATGAAAGCTTCTTTCTTTTGGCACTTTTGCATTTTTGTTGTCTGTCTTTGTTCTGTTATTAGTTTCCTTTAGTTTCTATGTGTTCTTTAATACAGACAGACAGACAGACACACACACACACAATTTTTTTGGAGAAGTAAATGTAAAGGAAAGGGAGAACACATTGCTAAAAATATTTCCATAATATTTTTATGTATGTTTGCTTCATGCTCAGTAGTAGTTCCTTTTTGCGCTAGTCAACTGTTATTATTCAATGCAGACTTTGCTTTTCTTTGCATTTCATTATTCTTATAATAAAAGTATTTTTTTCTTTTAAAACAAAGAAAGAATAGGAAACTCTGGAATGGCACAGTTGTCTGTGGTTGAAATTTATGCACATAACGCACATTACTTCTGTACGGACACCTATGTTTCCCTATTTATGAACATCTGCTGGCTGAGTTCACAAAAAACATGATAAGATCTGTAGGGAGGATAATAAAACAAAATTGCCTTCCTCTCCTTCCCCCAAAATATTACAAATAACCAATCCTTATTTGATCTTATCACAACTGGGCAAGTTTAGGTAACAGGCAAAGACAATGCCTAGGCTTCCACATCATCCCAACCTTGCAAATAGACAGTAATTGAAGACAGCCTGAGTGCTGTGTTATACAGGGCTCTTCAAACTTGGCCCTTTTATGACTTGTGGATTTCAACTCCCAGAATTCCTCAGCCAGCATGCCTGGCTGAGGAATTCTGGAGTTGAAGTCCACAAGTCATAAAAGGGCCAAGTTTGAAGGCCCCTATGTTTGTAGCTAATGTAGTATTCAGGAAGAGACTGATGGAACAGTCTCCACATTTCCCAATCCAATTATCAAACTCTTCAGTGTTGACATTTTGAACACTTGTATAGTTTTAAGCTATGTGCAGATGGATGCTGGCTTTTAAGATTAAAGCATCCCCAACAGATGGCAGCCTAACCTCTGCTGAACACCTAGAGAGAAGTTATCACCGCTCTGGGGTCCACTCTCAGAAGTTTTTTTCTATCATTCAGTTGGAATTTCTTGTATTTAAATCCTTTATCCCAGGAGTCCTCAACCTTGGCAACTTCAAGACTTGTGAAGTCCACAAGTCTTAAAGTTGCCAAGGTTGAGGACCCCTGCTTTAATCCCATGTCCTGCATTCTGAAGACAAAAACAAAAACAAAAAAACAAGTCTTGACCTCTTATGTGACAACCTTTTAGATATTTGAGAAGCGCTACCATTTGTTCCCTCAATCTTCTCAAGTTCCACGTGTCAGTTCCTTCACAGAACTTGTTCTTCAGAGCTATCCATCAATTTCTGAGCACCGGGAAACCATGTGGATATAAAATTTGTTCTCTCTATTGCCAATTCCTTTCCTGCATGAGATTGGTGAGTTTCAAGGGTTTTATTTTGCTCTCCTCCTACCAACTGTCACCATCGACAGCAGTCCTATTACCCAGAATAACAGAATTGGAAGGGACCTTGGAGGTCTTCTAGTCCAACCCCCTGCTAAAGCAGATCTTGTACCATTCCAGACAAGTGGCTGTCCAGTCTCTTCTTAAATGCCTCCAATGATGGAGCAGCCTTCTTAATGTGGGCGGAGTTGGGGCTGAGGAGAAGGTGGGCTTTAAAGTATGGGTAGAATGGCAAGTTTATTGTAGTCATCGGTCAAAACTTCCTTGGGTTTTTTGCCCAATTAAGTAAGGGTGCCTGCACTAACCTAAATGGGAGCTAGGCTAACCTATGTGTTAGGAGTCACCAGACTGCATCTCCAGCAGAATAGCTGGGAAAGTGTGTCAGAATATATCATAGGCAAAATAAAGTGTGGAGATAAAAAGGAAAATCCCATTTTAAGAGCAGAACAGCTGACTGTATCTTAAAGTTGCCTCAGATATATGCAACATCATGAGGGCAAAAGCAATGAAAAAAGATTTTGGGTATTTGTTTCAGGGTTACACGAAGAAATTGCCCTCTAGACAATATTTCTCTTTTTGTTTAATCTTTTTTACAAGTGTGGACCTTTGAACTGGATACAGTATTGGGAGGGGGGCTCCTAACCAAAGAGAAGCAAAAAAAAAGTGGAATCATTATTTCCAATCCTAGTGTAGTATAGCATTTACATGTTTTGATCTTAGGACATATTTTATTTACAGCCTCAACTAACTGCAAAACTGAGGCAGATTAATTCATAGCTGTGTCCTGGTTGGCTGAAGTCAAATATCACGCTAAAGGCAGTGTAGAAAGCATTTTGGAACCATTCTTTTGATGGCTAAGGGCAATACGGGTGGGGTAAATTATACAAAGGGGACAAGGCTGAGATCTTTCTTGGTCTCAAGGAAAGGAGAATTTGCCTTCGTCCCTCCCTCTCTCCCACCCTTCCATTGCACTAAACCTATTTTAGGATTTATGCTATATTTTCTGTGTTTCCCAATCAAAAATAGGAAAAAACTTTCAGTGTGTTCAGAGGAAGTCTCCTGGGGCCACAAAATGGAGTAAGCCTGGAGCTCAGGTGATCTTCTTTTGCCTCAAACCACGGGTCATCAAACTTGGCCCCTTTATGATTTGCATGCTGGCTGAGGAATTCTGGGAGTTGAAGTCCATAAGTCATAAAAGGGCCAAGTTTGAAGACCCCTGCCTCAAACTGCCAGCCCATGGGCTGGATGTGTCATGCCGAAACTGCGCCCATCCCAGCTCCGGCAATAGGGGAAAAGTCATGATATGTCATGACACATCACGTGACATTGCAAGTTTGACACCCTTGTTCTAGGTCAATTTTCCTCAGTCGTCTAGGGACCTCTGATGCTTAACATCAACTGTACTAATGAAACAGTGCCCAGCCTTGGGAAACACTGCTCTTAGTGCTTTAGTTTAGATGACAATTTCTATCAAAAGTAATCAGCATGGCCAATGAAAATGATTATGGCAGCTGTAGTCCAAAGCTGCTGAAGCATTAGGTTGCCTAACTCTGTGATATCTCAGTCACATTGTTGACCATAGCATGCTATGTATGGGTAGGTGGAGAGGGGGAGCAGTCAGATGTTAAACCCTTTCCCTCCACACTGTGAAAATGCTTCAGTAGGGAAAGCACCACAAAGTCTACTTGTTAAGTTATAATTCCAACAAAACAATTTATGAAGAAACAAGTCTTCTCAAACTTGGATATTCAGTGAGCAAATGCTCAGGACAACCCTACGTGTGTGTGACTCTCTCCTCAACAAAGGACTGCATAGTTAAATGTAGGTGGACTGAAAACCAATTCTTCCAAATTGCTTGGACCAATAGCCAGCACAGATGCTTTGGCTAACACTTTATTTTTCAAGCACGATATCATTTGTAGTGTTGTCTCCTCCAATGCTAGGCTTCCAGTAAAAATAATCCCCATTTTGGCATGAGAATAGTGTTTTCATTCAAGTCATGGGCTATTTTGTTTGAAAGCTTCATTTGTGAACTGGCCTTGCATTTTCTCAACCACAGCCTTGCTGAAGCCATGCAGGAAAGATCTGCACTAGAATCTCTGAGTCCTCACCTTTGAATAGTCTTTGACTGCTCCAATCCAATGTGATGTCTCAGGACTATATTTTCTCCTGGGCTGAGAGAGGGGGGAGGAGAGACAAGGAATTATGAATCTGGCATAGTCAGATTGTCCATCAGAAGACCTGTTTTTGTGAGAAATTCAGGAGTGAAATCATGTAAATAACAAGAAATGGCAGCTGCGTTTTGTCTCTTAGCATACTGATTATATCTCACCCCATAATGACAGATGAGCTCACCCAGTGGCTTCATGTAGATGTTAAAGAGGAGGGGGGAAAGCACTGAACCTTGAGGCACTCCACATAGTAGAGGCTGAGAATGGGACTCTCCTACCAGTCATCACCAACTGGAATCAGTCCTGAAGAGGCTAGCCAGCACAATAATCCTCTAGTCTAAACTCATCCAGATGGGTACCAAGGCCAATAGTGTGAAAAGCCACCAAGAAGTCAAGTAAGGCGAGGATGGATGCACTGTCCTATCTCACTCAAAAGCATGATGAATGCCATTTCCATCTCATCTGGGTCTGAATCCTGACTGAAAAGGAACCAAGTAAGCCACTTCCTCCAGGTCCCTCTGAAGCTGTTGTGTTACTACCATTTTTCACTAGAAAGGGAGGTGAGATTGTCCACTATGGAGGGATCTAGTGATGTCTTTCTGAGGAAGAGGCAATCCAAGGCCTCCTTAGGAGGTAAAGGAACAACCCCATCACTCAAAGAAGAATTGCCAGAATTCACTCACATAACCTCTCCCCCCCCCACCAGCCACTTTAAAAAACCAGGAGGAATCTAAAGAGCTGAGCCCATAGTTCTAAGGACTTCATCCAGTTTTTCAGCTTCACGAGGTTCAAACAGTTCCCAAATAATTGGGCAAGACACCTGGCTCAACCTCCGCATCTCCTCTGGGCCTTTGACAAGTGCAGTGTCCAATTTGGAACAAATCTGAGTATTTTTTTTTATTGAAAAGTTTTATACAATATACATCCCAAGACCCACCCATCCCTACCTCCCTACCCCACTTCCCAGAGCTGAGTACAGGGTTACAAATAAACAATCAAACAATATCTGAGTATTTTAACAGAAGGTGTGCAAATTCCTCTGCATATCTCTGTCAGAGGTTCTCCACACCACGTATCAATCAACACAGGGCTGCGGGGTAGAAATTTGAGGATGCAATGAGATCGGAGAAGTAGGCCTTAATAGTGGCTCTAACCTGTGTTTGGTCAAATTTGCCCTTTGCTGAATGCCAGCAGTGCTCTAGGCACCTCTTCTGTTTTATCTCACCAAGTGCCTCCATACACCACAGGGCGTGTCAGGCGTCACCAAAGGAGAGAGATTGCATAGGCGCAATTCAGTCCAAGGCCTCAGCGGTCCCCTTATTCCAAGTGGCAACCAAGGTTTCAGAGGTCTGTGCAACAAACCAACAGGGACAACTCCCAGGTCCCCTGAGACCTCTCCAAGTCCAGTAGTGGCCAGGGGCAAACCACTAATGGGTTCAGCCTCTCTGCAGTGGATAGTGGCTCTAAAGAATCCCATATAAATCAGGCATAATCCAACCATGACAATGGTTGGAAAGCTCCCCCAATTTTCAATCTCATTGCCACTGCTCTGACAGGAACATCAAAACTAGAGAGTGACCGGTGTCCTGAGATGGGCTCTGGATGATGTGGATTCACAGCTGTCATGGGAGCCATGAACTCCCAAGCCACTTCAGACCTTAGTCCTAGGGAAGGCAGAGTAAAATCCTCCAGAAACGTAAGTCTGGGGAACTCCACAGGCAACCCAGAAATGGAGCCAAGGAGCCCAGATAGGGAGGTTGGAAGGCAGCAGGAAGGGTGGCACAACAGCAACAACCCCAACTAATTATTAGAGCCAAACTTCCAACAATGGTTGGAAACTGACCAAAGAGAGAAGCAATTTGGAATTGAGGAGAAACTTCCCAACAGTGAGGACAATTAACCAGTGGAAAAGAGCAGAGGTGGCGCAGCAGTTAGAGTGCAGTACTGCAGGCCACTTTAGCTGACTGTGTTCAGCAGGTCAGCGGTTCAAATCTCACCAGCTTACTGGTGTACACCGCTTAGAGTGCTTGCACTTAAAGCGGTATATAAGTCTCATAAATAAATAAATAAATAAACAGCTTGCCTCCAGAAATCATGGGCGCTCCATCACTGGAGATTTTTAAGAAGAGACTAGACAGTCACTTGTCTAAGATAGTATAGGTTCTCCTGCTTGAGCAGGGGGCTGGATTAGAAAATCTCCAGGGTCCCTTCCCTGTTCTATTCTATTCTATTCTATTCTATTCTATTCTATTCTATTCTATTCTATTCTATTCTATTCTAAACAGGGTATATAACCATTTATGCTTTTCCAGGAAGGACATCCTTGAAAACACCAGGCAAGGATCAACCATCGTCAGAGGTGCCCACGTGGTTTCTGCCAAGGGAAAAAAGAAATCCTGTCTAGAAGGCTGGGAGATTTCCACCTTGCGAGAAGGCGGAAATCTTTTCGTCCATGGCTGAGAAACCGCACAGAAAGAAGCCACCGCTGCTGAGCGGGCTGGCAAGAGAGCGCCAGCGTGCCAGATGCTTCCATTGACGATAAAATCTCTGGCCCGCCCCTTGACTTTTCCTTAGCCAATCAGGTCGCCGGTTTCGGTCGAGCCTCCTTCAAGCCTTCCCCTGCTTTTACTGTGATAACCTCCCCGGCAGTCATGTGATGGGGATATAGTACTACGCGAGGAGAGCTAAAGGACACATCACCCTCTGTATTGCTGGTCGCACGTCGGAACTCACTTCGCCTGTTGGCGATTCCCAGGGACGACGACGATTGCCATCCTGTCAATCATCTTGGGGGAAACGTTGGGTTTTTTTAAAAATAGCTGCATTTTTTTTCTCATTTTTTTTCTTCCTTAAATGCCAGGAGGAGTGACTGCCGGTCGGGATCTTTTTTCTCCTTTGCGGGTAATTTAAAGTTTGGCGGGGTGTTCTCCCCCCCCCACCTTCCAGACTCACCCGCATTCCGGGCGTTGAGAAACAGAGAAAGTTCAGGTAAGGAGTAGAGGACACGATGCTGCCTCTTCCACGGAATGGGAGGGTGCGACTTGGGAGAGGGACGGGGCCGGTGGGTGGCGCGGGAGAAGAGGAACCCGCAAAGGGGGAAGAAGGAGAGAAAGGCAGAGAAGCAGGCGGCTCTAGTGAAGGAATCCGACAGGCGTGCATGTGTGTGCGCGCACACTTGTGCAGCCGCGTTACACGGGAAAGGAGCGAGCTGCTCGCAGATCTCCCGGGTCACTGGAGAGGAGCGGGCCGATCGGTTAACCAGCCTCTGGGGTGGGGTGGTGGGGGGCGGCTCGGGTTTTCGGGATGCTAAACAAGTGGACGGAAGAAGGACGGGCGAAAATCCTCCTTTGCTCCAGGACGTGGAGGCCGAGGCGGCGTTCTCTGCGCGCGAAGTTGTTTATAGTAAAGGAAGGGCACGGAGGGAGGGGGGGGAGAGTTTACGAAGGAGCCCCCTTCTTCCCCGCTTTGAAGGACGCGATCCGCCATCGAAACGCGGCGATTGCTTTCGATCAATCGGCACCCCCAAGTTCCGAAGAATGAGCAAAAAGGCAATTTCCCCACCATATGTTCTGGCAGAGCCGTTGGTAGAGAAAAGCTCGTTTTCGTCAGGCGGACGTAAACTCTGGGAGTCGCTGTGCTGGAGCGATGACTGTCGCCTCCCCTACGGTAGCAAATAAACAGGCAGGTACTTTTCCATTTCTTCTGTTAACCCAGGACGTGAGAAGGCCGGTTTCTCATGCCACCTGACGACAGCCCAGATCTGCCTCTTGTGCTGTTAGGCAAATGCCCCCCTGGCCTTTTGGTTCCTTTTGGGACTTAAAAGCAGCTCTTTAAAGGGGTTGATATCAAAGCTGGGCTGCTGGCTTTTTTAAAAAAACACCTCCCCCCCCCCAATATCCCCTAGCGGGCTACACAGAAACACAGGCTTCAGGCAGCGTACATGAGCAGAGCAGAGAGAAATTAATTGGTGCTTTTGGTAACGCTGAATATGGAAGCCATATGTCGGTGGTTGACTACATCTCCCATCGTTCCTGCCAACATAGGGCTGCGGGGGGGGGGCTGAAAATGGTGGGAAGTGAAGATATCTGTTGGGTGTCTTCTTTGAGGAAGGTTGACCCATGTCAACCATAAAAGGCAGCAATTGCTGGATTAAGTCTAAGCAGCGACTAACAAATTGTGACACTGTAATGCTTAAATGGAGGGAGTTTGTAGCAATAATAGTAGCAATGTAGTTATGTGGAAGGTCTCTTTGATAAAACCTGCTATGGGATTGGAAACTTTTCAATCTGCCATCAGTATTGTTCACTTGCCCAGGAAAAAAAATCCTTCTTTTTGGAGAGCTAATAATAGAATTCTAATTGTTAGAGTTCTCTCTCTACCATAGAGCATATCCCAAGTCATGTCTAAGGACTGGATATATCCAATAACCCAAAGCTATTCCCCAAAGAATCTTTTTTTTTTGGGGGGGGGTAAATTTTCTGGAGAAAGTATAGGATTGTTTCCTATTTGGAAGCTCTTCATTTTGTGTGTGTGCATGAAAGAGAAAGCTGTATATACTATACAAGGCCCTCTGAAAATCACTCATTTATTTTTCCTTATGTCAGTGAGACAGCTTTCAAGAATGTGGGGGAAAACCTAACTCCTATTATTTTTCACCAATGTTGCTGAGGCAAAGACTCATTTTTGTCCCCCTCTCCGTTGATCTTCTCCAGACTTGTCCTTCCACATACAGTTTGTATCTTCATCCTGGCCAATATGGCCAAGGGTTAGAATGAGGTGTAATCCGCATATTCAGAGGGCATCAGTGTGGAGAAAAGGTCTGTTTGCATCTGGCTGGAGAGCACTCAAGGTGTTCTTGTTCTGAAATGCAGGAAGATTTCCCTTTGTGCCTTGCAACATTTTTGCTGTGGAAACTTCATGGGCTCTCTTGGCTTACACCTTTTACCTTTGGAGATGGATGTTTCCAATGATTGCAGCAGAAACATTTAGTATTTTTCCAGCAGAACTTTGGGGGGAGGGGGTGCACCGGACTCCTTTTGGAAGATAATGGTGAGAAAGTAACCTAGAGCAGGAACAGGAGGAGGCAGCTGCCTGTTTTGTTCTGTTCTGTTATGATAATGCTGAAAAAGAGAGAGAGAGGGAGAGAGGGAGGGAGGGAGAAAGGGCTGCTGGGTTACTTTCGGTCATTCCAAACTTCAGAGTCCAAAGGGAGGGAATGGGAAAGAGAGAATAGCACCAGTGAAACTGAGCTCAGTCCTTTTCTTTAATACCTGCTGTGTAAAGCTGAGATCGGAGTTTTAAAAACATTTGCCTAAACTGCAGTGTAATTTCACACAGCTGTGTCCTCCATCTCATCTCCCTTCTTCCCCCCACCCTTGCAATAAATCTCAGAGCTTTCCTCCATTGCCAGCTTGATAGATGAGCAGAGACAGGTTCGTGACTGCATGTGTGTGTGACCAGCATGAATGACCAAACCTAAGGTAGTTTGTCCAGAGCTGCAGATTAAAGCTTATAAATGTTGGTACCTTACAGCAGAGTCTTCCCTCTTCAGAAAAGAATTAGGAATTGATACTTTTGGGGGAGGGGAGACCAATTAACCTTAGACAAGGAAAGGGATCTCAGTCCCAAACTTCCCACTAATGTCCCATTCCTAGCAAAAGTATAGATAAAGCTAGGAAATCCTGAAAATTAGAAAACAAGCTTGACAACTGCTTTGTACTTGAATCAGTGTGTCCTAATGGCTCTTTTGCTTTAAGAATCAGAACTCTTACCTTATTGCCCATTCAGCCAAGTGTGACAAGTTATGTCATGGGTGTCAAACTCAGCACGTCAATTGTGACTTTTTTTTGCATTGCTGGAGCTGGTGTGGCTGTGGCCTCTGTATGATGCAACTAGCCCATGGGCCGGGTTATGTACTGTAAATTATAAAGTGCAAAATAATGCAATAAGCTTAGGGAATGATCTATGGTGGGCAGTAAAGGGAAAAAAAGGTGGGAATCCACCCTTTAATATTTAAACCTTCTTAGAGGCCTGCAGAACATCCTTGCAATGTTTTCAGTGACCATGAGATATACAAAAGAAATCTTCTCCTTGAAAAAATTAAGCAGATGGTATTATGTCCTGTTGTTTTATTATATAGAGATGTACCCTTATGTAGTCATTGTAGAATAATAATAATAATAATAATAATAATAATAATAATAATAATAATAATAATAATAATAATAATAAAGTTGGAAGGGACCTTGGAGGTTATCAAGTCCAACCCCCTGCTCAGGCAGGTAACTATACCATTTCGGACAAATGGCTGTCCAGTTTCTTCTTAAAAGCTTCCAGTGTTGGAGCATTCACCACTTCTGGAGGCTGGTTGTTCCACTGGCTAATTGTTCTAACTGTCAGGAAGTTTCTCCTTAGTTCTAGGTTGCTTCTCTCCTTGATTAGTTTCCACCCATTGCTTCTTGTCCTGCCTTCAGGCACCTTGGAAAATAGCTTGACTCCCTCTTCTTTGTGGCAGCCCCTGAGATATTGGAACACTGCTATCGTGTCCCCCCTCGTCCTTCTCTTCATTAAACTTGACATATCCAATTCCAGCAACCGTTCCTTATATGTTTTAGCCTCCAGTCCCCTAATCATCTTTGTTGCTCTTCTCTGTACTCTTTCTAGAGTCTCAACATCTTTTTTACATCGTGGTGAAGAACTATGTTAGACTATGGTAGTGAAAATTGGAGGTCTAGTAGCATTTTTTTCAATTACAATAATACATTTTATTAGAAGGCATTTCTGAGTTCACTTCATCGGATGCATGGAGTAATTAATATATGGAAATTATTGACTGATGTTACTAAATGTTTGTTTTTGTGAAACAGCGATCCCCAATCTTTTTGGCACCAGAGACAGATTTTGTGCAAGACAGTTTTTTCCACAGAGCAGGGAGGAGGGAGGAAGAGTGCGCAACCTAGATCCCTTGTGTCAGTTTCACTTGCCCGCTGCTCACCTCTAGCTGGGCAGCCTGGTTCCTAACAGGCCACAGATTGGTACTGGTTGATGGCCCAGGAGTTAGGGAGCCCTGCTGTAAAACATGACCAGCCAAAATTAACAGTTGAATCTTTCTTAAGCTGGAACGCCTTTCTTGCAGCTATATATTTAAACTTCCCTAAGAGGAGAGACAGCAAAGGCTTTTATTAGTATATAGTATACATTAGATTCATTCATTCATTCACTCATTCATTCTTGACCCAGCATGAACAGCAGAGTGTACTCTATGATTCAGATTCAAATGCATCTTTTTAAAATGTTCATATGATACCCACTTTTCCACCAAGTTGAACAGTGCCCAAGATTGTTTCTAGAGTGTTAGATCACACAGACCGTGAGTTAAAATCTCTGGTTAACCACACAGTGAACGAATTTGAGACTGACACAGTTTCTCCATTACTCTGCCATATAGGATTATTGATCAAATCAGAGCACTCAAGATTGGTTGCCCTGCCTTGTGATATACCAGTACCTAACATTGCATTATTGTATGCCTTGCTCAAAATACATATAATATATGCTGTAGTTTCATTTTTGTGGATTAGATCTGAATTCCTCTTCTATATTGTATTCTAGATTATCATCTGGAGGTTTTTGTTTTTGGCAGAGCTATCAAACCTTATATTGTGAGGATAATCAAGAGCACAGTGCTTCTGGTTGTTAAAGGGAAAGAAATGACATAGAGGGAGCAAGTTTGTGTATTCAAAGAAATCTGAGAAGCCTCTATGGTGTGTGCACATCTATGGATACACCTAGGGGGGGACTTCCAATAGGACCAAAAACACCGAGGATTAATTGTGAAGGATAATTACTCCCAATGTAGTAACTTACTCAGTGTCTCTATATGATAATATAATAAGAAGTAATGAATACACAATTGTATATGTGTGTGGCATTGCTTCTTGCTCCTTTTGACATCTTTTAAGCATCAAACTTAAGCATCTACCCCAAGAATGCAGAAATAATTGATTAGCCCCTCCATTGGTTCTCCCCTCCATCATCAACTAAGTATACAAATAAATTCAGACCATGTGCACTCCTTGCATATTAAAGAGGAATTCTGACTGGTCCAGAATTACCTCTACAAAGAAATTCCTTATAAGTATACCTCTGTACACAAATAGGACCCATTCTCAGGGCAGCCTAATGTGCAGATGGTTGAGTGCCTAAATGGCACATGTGTATCAGTGGCAGAAGGCGCGCTAATCAATGCTACTGTCTTTACCCTTGTGCTGTTTGTAGGGCTGGTTGTTTTGTTTAGTAGCCAACTCGCTGTGGCCAACTTGCCACAAGACAATTTGCTATGGTCAACTTGCCGCGAGACAACTTGCTGCAGGACAAAATTTACATAATACCGAAGAAATGGTGGAATCATTTCATTAAAGAAAAGGAGGGACAAAATGAAAAGCGAAGGACAAAAATTATTTTAAAAAAATGAAATAATTAAATATAAATTCTTGAATTGTCCCATGGTGAGTTGTCCCATAGTAAGTTGGCCACAGTGAGTTGTCCTGTGGTGAGTCGTCCTTGCGCAAGTTGGCCATGGGGAGTTGGCCATGGCAAATTGGCCGTGGCGAGTTGTCCCATTCCGGACTAGAAAGCGGAAGACTGCGAGTTCTAGTGCCACTTTAGGCATGAAAGACTTAGGGC